AATCTCTTACTTTACCTCAGTCTGACCACAAACACTCAGGGCCTCCTCTCACTACTCCCACGGATACATCACGGCACTCCGCCAGCCTCAGAGAGTGGGTAGGACAGCAAGAGCCACAGCCCCAAGGCCCTCAGACAAGGAGTTGCCCCAGCCATCAGATCAGACACCACCACCATCCCAGTCCCTGGTTAGAGGTTCCTTCTAGAATGGGAGACCTCTGTGAGTCACCTCAGATTTTTTTTTTCCCTCAGTGCAATAGGCCCAAGCTGGCCACAGTGGCATATACTCATATTTCCACCAAACAGGAGGTTGAGGCAGGAGGATCAAGAGTTCAAAGCCAGTATGGGCAACCTTTAGATCCAGTCTTCCTGGGGTGTGTGGGGGGGGTGGTTCAATACCTTTAATCCCAGCACTTGGCAGGCATGTCAAGGCCGAGATCCTGTCTCAAAAACACAAAAGTAAACAAAAAGATTGACCCCAGCTTTGTGAGTCTGTTCTTTTCCCAGCTCCCAGGACAGAGCTGGTTCCTGTTGGTTCTCATATCTCATGCCAGTCATTCAACTAAGCTTTACTGAGTCTCCCCACAGTCACCATGATAGCCAGGCAAGCATCCCAGTAGGGAAGCCCATGCTGATAACACCTCACTCAAGACTGCTGTGTACAATGGCATATTCCTGTATTTGTGGCCGTTTCTTCCTAGCTCAAGTAAACTCGCACATAATTTCATATGCCCGTGTTGATGTTTTTGCTTTTTTTTTATTTTTAGGGGTGCCACCCAAATAAATCATACACGGAGGCTTATTCTTAGTTATGAATGCCAGACCTTAATTTGGCTTGTTTCTTGCCAGCTTTTCTTTTGCTTCCGGGCTTTTTCCTTTTCTTATTTCTATATGTTATTTTCACTCTTACTCTGTGGTTGGCTGGGTGGCTGACCCCTGACATCCTCCTCTCCTCGTTCTCTTGCTCCTACCCTCTTCCTTGTTTCTCCTCCTCTTTATTCTCCATGCCTGCCAACCCCATCTATCCCTCTCCTGCCTCGATGCTGGCCCTTCAGCTCTTTATTAGGACCATCAGGTGTTTTAGACGGGCAAGAATCACAGCTTCACAGGGCTAAACAAAGGCAGCACAACCAAAGTCATACACCTTACAATAATATTCTTCAAGAGGTCTGTGATGAGGGGGAGAACTGGGGTGCAGTTTCAATTATTACAAAATCTGATGCCTAATGGGGACATTCATTCATTTTTCTGCTTGCATAGCGCCTCCTGTTCCTGGGTTACTAGCACACGACCAGCAGGGTTTTTGTTTTTCTTTTGTTTTTCTTTCTTTTTTTTTTTTTGAAGACAGGGTTTCTCTGTGTATCTCTGGCTATTTTGGAACTAGCTCTGTAGACCAGGCTGGCCTCAAACTCACAGAGATCCACCTGCCTCTGCCTCCCGAGTGCTGGGATTAAAGGCGTGTGCCAGGACCAGCAGTTAAAACCCGTGAGCTGGAGGCTGCACCACTCACAAGTGTGGTGGCGAATCTGTCTCCCCCTCCAGGCAGTAGGCGTGACCAGCAGGTCGGGTGAGCACAGCTAGGTAGGTATGGAGACAGAAGTCAGGAAGGGTCCAGCAGAGGATGGGGGATAGCTCCAGTCTGTCTCAGGCTCCTCACACCACTTTCTGAGACCCTGGAGAAGCCCTTGTCCCACAGCCTCAACCCAAGCGGAGGGAAATCTGACTTGATGGTAGCGGGGTGGGGGAAGGGATGCTGCAGCGGTGACCTCTCTCAGATTTATGGGAAGAAGGCGCACGTACTGGGTGGAAAGTAGGTCTCAGGGGGAGCCAGGAAAGGTCCTAGCATCCTTTTCAGCAACACCATTCTAACAGGATGTCAATATCTCCTTGTGCACCGTCACCCTGCCCTGAAGCACACCTCCTCCAGGAAGGCCCCCAGGTCCTCTCCACACACACCTGCCTCACTGCCCCATCACCAAGCTGTGCCTACCTCACTTTCTGCAATGCCACCCTGCAGAAGCCCACTGCCTCCTCCTAGGATCTGGCATTAAGGACTATTTGGGCCAAAGGCCGGCAGAGTGGAGTGGCAGATATGTCCATGCCACATACTGGAGTAACGAATCTGTCCTTACCCCATTCATCACTACCCAAGAGTCTCTGCTGCTTCACTCCAACCCTCACTGCTCCGGCCTAGGTGCAGGGCTGAACATCCCCAGTAACAACAGCCAGGAGTGCCCTTAGATGGACCGATGGGAGGAGGGGCGTTCCCAGGGCCAAGTTCAGATTCCCCTACTCTATGCTCAGTGTGTCTGCTCTGGAAGCTCACTTCCCCTCTCTAAGCCTCGATATCTGTAACTGAGAAATGGGCCAATATTCTTATTTTTGGAGCAATCTGGAAAGGAAGAATTAAAAACAGCATTAAGAGGCTTCAGAAAGCGATCAAAGGGCTGGCAGGCTGGTTACATGAACCTCCAGTCAGGGGCCCTGGAATCACCGGCACGATGAGGAGCGCCCCTCGCACAGGCAGGGATGCTCCGAGGTTATGTAACTCCAGAGGGTTAACCGAGTGGGCTCAGAACTGGAAGTGAGGTCAAGCTCCACGACCCTCCAGGCTCCACATCGGCCTCCATCCTGCCTTTGCACGCGAGGATCCAGCTCCCCACTCGGATCATCCTTCCAGAGCGGTTCTCCAAACCCACCTGCAAAGTGGGTGGGGCTAATGACAAACCGGCCCAGGAGGTCAGTTCCAGACTAGGATCCCACCTGCAATTCCCTAAGCCACAGTGAGCCTCGGCTGGCTCGTCTGTCAAACGGGTCCTCGGCCACTACCCTTCACGGGCGGCAGGTGCAGGAATTGTGAGACGCACGTCGGGCCCTGCCCACAAGTCCCCGCGCCCAGCCTCACGCTCACCGGGGGTCCGGCTTCCGTCGCTGAGCGGGTGCCAAGGGTCGCGATCGGTAGCTACGAGCAGGCAGTCGGGGTCGCGCAAGTGCGCGCACGCCTCGCTCAGCCTGGCGAAGGAGAAGTGCTCGTCGTAGCCCACGAGCACGGCGCGCACGCGCGAGCCGTCGTCGCCAGGGTCCCCCGCCAGGCGCAGCCCCGCGGCACGCAGCTCGGCGCGCAGCCCCTCACCACCCAGCACGAATACGGTGCCGGGCGCGTCGGGCGGCCCGGGTAGACGCTGGCGCAGCAGACGCGCGGCACACAGCGCTGAGCTGAAGAGCTGCTCAGCGCGCAGCCCCGCGAAGCCCAGGCGGGCGAAGCGCAGCGCCAGCTCGGGCCGCGCGCGCCGGCTGTTGTTGCTCACGAAAAGCGTGGTCTTGCCCGCCCGCGCCAGCCGCTGCAGCAACTCGGGGGCGCCCGGGACGATGCGCTCGCCGTTCCACAGCACCCCGTCGCAGTCGAACAAGACGCCCTGCGCCTGGCCCAGCACGTCGCGCAGGGCCGCGCCGCGCAGCCGCTCGCAGCGCGCCATGCAGCCGGCTGGCCGCTCGCACGCGCGCGCCGCGCTCCCTCCGCGGCCACGGGTCAGCTCAGCCAATTGGCGCGCAGGAAGGGCCGAGGGCGGGGCTACGGCCTCACGCCTCAGCCAATGGCGGCGAGAATCTAGTCGAGGGCCCGAGCCGATCCCGAAGGAGCTCGGAGAAAGGGGCGGGACATGGAGAGCCTGCCTGGTCTGGAGCGAATCGCCGCGCGCTTCTCAGCCAATTAGAAGCATAGGCCAACTAGTTGCTAGGAGGAAAACAGGCGGAGAGAGAGACTTTGCCCTCGGAACCTTTGCCGCTGTGGTTCTAAGCAGAGTCCTGAGAAACGAGTGGCTGTGGTGGAGCTAGGCCACAGTACCCGTTGTCTTCTCAGACTCTGGGCTCTTGGGCCAAGCCAGTGCTTCTTGGGGCCCTCTGGCTGTGCTGTAGAGTCCCCGGGGGAGCTTGGTGTTTTATTTATGTGTTTGTATAATTTACACTCAGTAAGATGTGTAATCTTTAATGTACAGTTCGATGGCTTTAGATAAATGCTTTTCAAAACACGAATGCAGGGTCAGTGAGAGGGTCAGCAGGTTGACAGCTCCTCACGGTGGAGAGAACAATACTAGTGCAAGTTTTCCGGCCTCCACATGCGCATCCTCGTGTAGACACCCTCAAATAAATGCTAAAAAATTCTAATACACGGCCCTAAGAAAGGAGCCCACAGGTCTGATTTTATTACTTGTCTATGTGGGACCTACCCTGGGCATTATTTTGGTTGCCAAGGCGTTGTCTGTTCATATTGTTAATGGGGCGACCCGGCCGGCTGGATACCTATTTTGTAGATGAGACCTTCAAATCTGGTGAGCCTCTGAATTACCAGTAATTCCAAGTGTGGGACCGGGAATGACTCGGGACCTGTACTGTCACAACCTGGGGTTCTAAGCAGAGCTGTCCAACCTCCAGAGAAAACGAAGCTGAGCCCAGGGGAAATCCACCGAGTCTGTCATTCCTGCATGCCCATTCCCTATAGTTCTTCAGGCACAGAGCTGAATGGGCCATTACCCAGGGTCTGGCACCGAGCAACTCAGGAAGGTCATGGGAAGGCAGATCTCTGCTCGTGGGAAAGCTGTTCGTGTGTGTGTGCCAATAAGTGCTTTGGTCTTCAGAACAGAGCGTGACACTTGTCGACTGTCTCAGAGGAGGAGCCCACGGTCCTAAGAAGCTGAGCAAACTGTCCTGGGTGGGAGGAAGAGTCCAGGCTTCAGAGCTAATCTTAAGATATTTCATCTCAGGCCCAGGCTTTGCTAGCTGTGATCTGTGCAGTCTCTTCTCACTGGCCTCAGTAACTTCACCGGCAATGGTGGCATTACCTTGACGAGAAACTATTACATGGGAACCATACCAGCAGCTCCGAGAAAGTGGCAAGCACATGGCCCGAGAAAGGAAGGAGGCAGAAACTATGACCCCACCCCTCCTTGTGGAAGCAGATTATTCTTGATCTCCAGGAGAGAAAGCTATTGCTTGGCCAGTTGCTCCAGTTTCGTTAAAAATAATTTATTTACGAGCCTTACAAAAATACATTGGCAAGAGAAAAATAAAAGTTGTGTAGGGAATGGGCAGGTCCGTCCTTCCTTTTGGTAGCTCCCTTGAGACCCCTGCCAGAGAGTGGGGAGTCAGGTGGGAGCCCCCAAGCTCAAAGTGGAAGAGGAAAAGGTCAGAAAGTAGAGGGCTGACCTGAGCCCTCTTAGCCATGGGGGCCGACCCAGCAGGCACCCAGGCACGGGGCAAGGGCTGTCCTGGGAGGACAAGGGAGGCAGGGAGAGGGAGAGAGAGGGGGAAGGAGGGTACACTGAGGATATCTCAGGCAGGAAGGCCTGCTCAATCTGTCTCTGAGGTGAGGCCCCTGGGCCGGGGCTGGGGTGGCAGAACTGGGGGAGTGGGATGCCCACCTACAGTCTCAGGGCCTTCCCTGTCCTCTGTAGCCCCTCCCTGGTCCACCTGAGCAGGCATGTTTGAAATGACCAGGCCAGGGGAAGCTGGGCTGGGGGAGCCTGGTAAACGCCGGCTCTGGCGCCGGGCAGGCTGTGGAGGAACAGGGGGTAATGGGGGAGGCACGGTGGGGGCCCGGAGGCTGGTGCCCACCAGACGGCGTGGCAGAGCTTGGGGAGTGCCAGGGCTGCCAGAGCCAGGGGGCAGGGATGGAGCTGGAGGAGATGAGCGTGCACTGGAGGGTTGGGGAGGTGGCATGGTAGGTCGCGCTGGTGCCGGGCGCTTGGCTGTGGAGGAAGGGAAGTAGGAAAGTTAGGGGTTTGTGTGTCTGGGTGCATTCCTCCTGTGTGGTGGGGGTGGGGCCACTTTCCCCGGTGGGTTCTTGTCATTTAGTAAGTGTCTCTTCACTCCTCCTCTGTTGTCCTCAAAGTCTCAGCTCACAGAAGATGCCCAGCCCCCACCACGGTAACGCTGTCACCATTCCCAGTTTCGCTGGTCTCTGAAACCATCTTGTCCATCTTCATCTTACTCGGCCCTTACTTGTGCCTCTCCTTCGCACACAGACCCAACATGGCCACTGGCTATCACAGTCGGAGTGTCAAGCAAGCGTGGGACAACACATTTGTTGACTATATAAATGTCACCCGTCCCTGCTAACACACGGGTCCTGCGTGCCTCTCAGAAGCCTCAGGTCCTCCGGTAAGCTTCGACCTTGTGAGGCAGCTGGGGGGCTAAGTGGAGTCGAGATCAAATCTCTCCCTGGCTCTCTGCACTGGGCTGTCTGGGGTGACTCGTTTGCTTCGTGGAGCCCATTTCCTCGCTGGTAAGAGGGGGAGAGAGGCCCAGCCTCCCACAGCTGCCAGGGCCAGGTCCGGTGACTCCAGCAATCCCTGTCTTCCAGGTCCCTGTGTGGTCTGCAGGCTCCTGCTGCTGTTCTCCTAGCTCTACTGAAGCAGCCAGCTCTAAACCCCCTCGTCCTCAGGGCCTGGGGTGGGGGTTCCCAGTGATCCAGCCCCCACAAGGATCCTTGTTCTCTTACCTCTCCATTCTGGACCAGGTTGGCATATAAGTCAGGAGCCTCCAGGACTCCTTCCAAACCTCTCTTCCCTCTACCCTTAAACACAGTTTTGGCCCTATGCTTTGTAGTCCTTTGGGCTTCTGGAGGGCTGAAACACCCATCACGCTCACACTGGCTAGCTTTCTCTCGCCCTTTCTGTGTGCCGGAGTACAGCACGCTCCCTGAGCTCCCAGTCCATGCAATTCTTCAGGGTCAGGGCAATTACAGTTTCTACCATACTGCACAGGAGGGTGCTGAGGCAGGAGCATCACCTGCTCAAGGGATAAGAGCTAGAATCTGGGTCCAGAGTGCCAGGCTACAAACCCAGAGCATCTCACTCCGGCTACTGCTGGCCTTTCTGGTGGTCCAAAGACATGGGAGGACTAGGATTGCCAGCTCTCCGGCTCTTCTCTCCCACACCCAACTTACTCCTCCGAGTCATGTCCTCTGCTGAAGCAGCCGTTTCTGTGGTGCTCCTGCTGACCTTGGGGGAAGCTGGCTTGGGCAATTCAGACTCTGTCCTGACAAGGCAAGGAGAGGGGCAACAGTCAAGTTTGGCCATCTCCTGGCAATCTTCTAGAGTCCGGCATGATTCCAAACTGGTGGGTAGAAGGACTTGCTCCCTACTGCCTATGGCCGTGTGGAGACTCGTCCTCACTCTCAGTCCCTTGGTAGATACTTCTGGGATTGGTAGGAGTCTGTGTCCTAACTTGACACAACCAAGAGTCACATGCAAAGGAGGAGTCTCTACTGAGGGACTGACCAAATCAGACGGGCCTGTGACCATGTCTGTGGGGAACTGTATTCATTGCTGACTGATGGGGGAGGGCCCAGCTCACAGTGGGCTGTGCAGTGCCTGGACCATTGATGGTCCTGAGCTGTATAAGAAAGCTGGCTGATGGGAGGTGGCGGTGCAAGGCTTTAATCCCAGCATTCAGAAGGCAAAGGCAGGCAGAACTCTGTAAGTTCGAGGCCAGCCTGGACTATAGAGAAAGCTCCAAGACAGTCAAGGCTACACAGAGAACTCATGTCTTGAACCATGCCCCCCCCAAAACAAAACAAAACAAAACAAACAAACAAAAAAACAGAAAATAAAACAGCTCCAAAGAGCAGGAGACTTGGACTTTTGGGGCTGTAGAGATGGCTCAGCAGTTAAGAGAGCACTGGCTGCTTTTCCAGAGGTTCTGAGTTCAATTCCCAGCAGTCACATGGTGGCTCACAACTATATAATAATAAAATATAATATAATAATAATATATAATATAATGAGATATAGTGCCCTCTTCTGGCATGTGGCATACATGCAGGCAGAACACTGTATACATAATAAATAAATCTTTTTAAAAAGAAAAGAAGGAAGGAAGGAAGGAAGGAAGGAAGGAAGGAAGGAAGGAAGGAAGGAAGGAAACAACCTGGCTGATAACCAGTCAGGGCATGCAAAGCAGTGATCAGCATTCTCCTGACCCTGCTCCTGCTTGAGACCTGTCACAGACTGCTCCCTGGAGGTGCAAGCCCAATAAGCCCTGTTCTTCCCAAGTTGTTCGCCACGGCAGCAGAGAGCATCTAGGACAACACCATGAGCGATAATCTGGTGGACAACCCATGGAGTGAGAGGTGGAATGCCAGGTGACCTCCCTGCCTTGGTGTCCCAGGTGGTCTTTTCTTTTTTTTTTGAGATTGCCTTGTGCAGCCCAGGCTGGTCTTGAACTTTCCAAGTAGGAAAGATGATCCTGAGCTCCTGATCCTTCTGCCTGCATCTCTCCAGTGAGAGCTTATAGGTTAGCACCAAGTCCATGCTATGCAACGCTGGGCTGGAACTGGGCAAGCACTCTACCAGGTAAGGTGCACCCCCAGACCTCCATGCGATCTTTAGGGGATGTTCTGCCAACAGAAGTCAGAGAGCATGCGAGCTGAAGGAAATAATCCATGAGAGCCTGGATTCCAGGGCGGCCTTCCTTTCCTCCTTAACTGTTACAGCTCTTCACACTGCACATACACTGCCTCCTCCCACAGTAGAGCATGCATCCAGCCTGGCATCACAGGGCCACTCTCCCTGCCCCACCCATGTCAAGGGCTGAGGGTGGCATATGCCTGCCTCATCTGAGGGAGTACATGACCATGGTGTGAGCCACTGAGGCCCTTGTCGGTGCCACAAAACCCTTCTAGACTTAGAGAATTGGATACAGGACAGTTATAGAGCCCAACCATCCCCTCCCAATTCCCTAAATTCCCAGGGCATGAACAATGCCTGGCACATAGTAGGTGGTATAGAAATAGCCATGCAATGAGGAAGGCTAAGGGCAGGCTCCTTCCACCTACTCCAACCAGTGGGACCAGATCTGCAAGACAAATACCGCCATACCATCCCTAAGTCCTCAGAGACAGTGCCCCAGGCGAAAGTCCGCGTGGCCAGGGAGAAGACAGTCATTCTACTTAGCCCTTACCTTTCTTTCACGGGCATCGAGGCTGGACCTGGGGTGGCAGCTGGCACAGGTACAGCAGGTGGCAATTCCTCAGAGGTCCGTTGGCTACTGACCTTTTCCTGGGGGGCCAGGGCTGAGAAGATGCCTGATACACTGAAGTTGATATCTAGAGGCAGAATGAACAGGTGTCAAGTTCAGAGCTTTCGCCAACCTGACCCAAGGCTACTGGCTTTCCCTGAAATGACGGGATTGCTCTTGGCCTTCTCAGTCCCAGGGGCCAGGCAGGACTGTTCCCATTTCACAGATGAGAAACTGAGGCCCAGAGTGAAAAAGCAGCTTCTTCTAAGCCACAAGGAGGGTTTGTGGGGGAAACCAAAGACTGAGACTGGGCTGGAGTCCAGGAATGGAGTGGGGGGGGGGGGCTAGAGATGATATGAAGAAAGGACGTCACCTCCAGGGAAGAGGGTGTCTGTACTCTGGATCAGCGCCTCGACCACACCCACCACCTGAATTGAGGACACAGAGGCTGCATCTAGCTGGGCCTGGTCCCTGGCACAAAAGAGAAGCAAGAGTTTTAGCGACCCTAGCGTCATGTGACTCCGCTGGGCATGGCTTACGGCACACGTATAGCTCCCGTTCCCCATCTCCCACTCCTTCCCCTATGACAGACATCACTCATCAATTCCAGGCTCTTTCTTCACAGTTCTTGAACTGATTGCCCCCACTGAGCAACCACAGTTCAGCACACGGGATGACACCTTGTCATCTGTCTGTGGCCTGGAGCGCAATGATGATGCTCCTGAGTCACCACACCTTACAGTGTGTAAAGCATTGCCCATCTAATTCCCACAGCAACTCCCTTAGAATGCATAGAAGTTCTCCAAGGCCCATGTCTGGAGGGCTGGGAGTAAGGCTTCCATCATCCTCCATGGTTTCCAGCACCCACACCAAGTCACCACGTAGGTGCCCCATCACTTCTATTACCCTGGTCCCTCAGGCTGTTTCCCGCAGCAGCTTCAGGAATAAGACCTTCTCAGCCCACCACAGAGATAGGGAACGGAGGCTTGGGGAAATTAGAGGCTGGAGACTAGCTGGGAACATGCTTCTGTGCTCACGGCCCTCACCCTTCTTTCTCAGGAGGCCACAGCAGGTTGGGCCCCAAGACAATGGCGATGTTGCTGGGTGTCATCTTGTTCACTTCTTGCTCTTCAGCCAGCAGTGCCAGAAACTTCATCAGGTACCTGGGTTGGTGGGTGACAGAGGGTCAGCAATGCTTACCAATGCCCTTAAAGGCCTGAGAACTTCATACCCTTGAGTTTCCAGAGGGGAACAGATAACACACGGTATGGTTACGTTTTTACCAGCTAAGTTCCCTGACCTATTGTTTTGAGGGTCAACTGTATGTGAGAGGAGAAGCTAAGCTGAGAATCTTCTGACTGCCAAAGGCAGTAGGGACTGTCTCCAGTGCTGACACCAGACTGAATGCCCAGGGTCCGAGAGTGGCAGGGGTGGGGTCTGAAGCCAGGCAACACAGCTTCACAAGTGTAAGAGGTTTGGCTTCTTTGTTTGTCTTTTAAGACAAGGTCTCCTAGCCCAGTTTGGCCTCGAACTCTCTACAGCCAAGGATGACCCTGAAGTTCTGATCCTTACGCTTTCTTTAACTGCAGGCATGCATCAATACCTCCAGTTTATAGCATGCTGAGGAGTAAACCCAGGGTTTTGTACACTGTAGGTGTACTAGTTAAGTACTCCACCAACAACTACATCCCTAGCCAGATTGTCTTTGCTTAAGATAGGGTCTCACTCCGTAGCCCAGGCTGGCCTCAAACTCAGCCTCCCTTGTGCCGGCATCTATAGGCACAAGCTGGCTACATTTGTGTCTTCTGGGATACAGTTTAATATAAAACAAAGGACCAGGACATCACAGGTGAGGTTCTGTGCTCAGGCACAACACAGGGTTAGAGTCGAAACCAGAGCTTTGCGGGGCTGGGTGTGCAGGGGTGGGCCAGGGCTCACCTGAGGTTGTTGAAGTTCTCTTGGGGCAGGCGGCTGCAAACACCATGAAGGGCCTCCAGGCGAGCCCCAGGCTCCTTCAGGCTGGAAAAGGGAGACTCACCAGTGAGCCAGCTCAGGGCCACATTCTTAGCCCTTTCACCTCCCCACACCCCCAACCCCACCTCCTCACCTGGCTGCTCTCATCCAGTCATCATAGAGGTCAGAGGTCATCAGGGGCTCTGGCAGCTCCCGGAGATAGGACTTGAGAGCACCTGAAACAAGGCCGGAGGAAGAAGGTGTAAGGCAGACCCCCAGCTCCCCTTCCGTGTGCCCGAGGACCCAGCGCTCTCCACTTGGAAAGAACCTCTAGCTGTATTCTTACTATTAATGTGTCTAAGTCTGATAGTTTCTGTGGGTCACAGGCCCTTTTAGCACAGTAATTAGAAAGCTTGTCCTAAAAATAAATGCACATACATTTCAAGGGTTCATCACAGATCTGCATCGCGAACTCCTACATGCCCCAAGGTGTCTCTTTGGTAGCGTATCAGGCCTAAAGCCAAACTCTGATAGTGTTACCTTAGGCAGCTCTGCCCAGTCCCACCTTCTGCCTAGAGTTCCCAGTGGATCAGGTACCTGCCACAGCATGGGGGTCCGAGCAGAACTCCTCTAGGCTGTGGGGATCTGAAGCCATTGTTTGCTTGAGGCGCTTCAGCACAGAGGCCCCAGCAGCCAGACGGAAGAGGCCCTGGGGCGCAAGAAGGGACATACTGTGTGTCACAGAGAGGGGGGCAGGAGCAGGCTGCTGGCCTTCAGTATCCCACACCCCTGGTGGTCAGAGATGGCATTGTGGTGTCTATGCACCCTCCCAATGTCAAGGTCTGGAATTCTGAGCACAAGGCAGGGCTGGGAAATGGCAGTATGTGTGTGTGTGTGTGTGTGTGTGTGAGAGAGAGAGAGAGAGAGAGAGAGAGAGAGAGAGAGAGAGAGAGAGAGAGAGAGGGGGGGAGGATGGGGGGGGGGGGGGGGGGGGGGGAGAAGTCTCAGTATGATTGGTGGGGAGCCTACAATCTACTTGCTGTTGGGTAATTTTTCACCCAGCAGTCTATCTTCAGGAAAGGGCCAGCATCTAACAAGGACTGGACTGGGGACCCCTGGTTCCTCATGTGACTCTGAGCACATTTACTTTTTGCCTCTGTCTCCCCCCTTGCCAAACAGAGCCAATGAGAAGCCCCACTCACACCCAGGGCCACTGGGATTAGTAAGTGGAGCAAGGACAGCTCAGTTACCTGTGGCATGGTGCCAGGCCCCTGAAATGCCAATCAGTGAGTCAGAGTCAGTTTGGCAATGGGAGGTTACGCCTCCCCCTGAGAGGGGAACTATGGATAGCAGCGTGGGGGAGGCACGCGGCCCTGCCAACCCCCATGCCTCAGCTCTCACCTCCTCCTGCATGCCCTCTGATAGCAGCATTAGAACGCAGGCCTCAATGGGCAGGGCAATGTCACGACCCAGCTCTTGCAGGTGGGTTCTCAGGGATACCCCATATACTCTGGAGATGGGGGTAGCCGTCATCAAAGGGGAGAGATCTGTGGAAATGAGACACATCAGTGGCCTGGTTCTTCCTGCCCCAGGCAGTAGGGCCAGGGCAGACCGGGCACCTCCAGGAACCTGCCTTCCAACCTACTTCAGTGGCACACACAGCCATCTAGTCTACCTCCTGAGTCTGCCCACTTCCACTGCCCTACCTCGTCCAGATTCCAACCTTCTAGAAGGTCTCCTGGCTCCTGTCCTCTTCCTTCCCCATAGCAGCAGAAGCCCACCCATGAAGACCGGATCCGGGCCTCTCCCAACTCCCACCTCACCCATGGCTCCCTTCTGCCCTTCTGGGTAAGGAGCAAACTTTTTTCGTTTGTTTTTCCAAACAGGGCTGTCCAGGGACTCTCTATGTAAACTAGGCTGGCTTTGAACTCAGAGATCCACCTGCCTCCGCCTCCTGAGTACCTGTACTAACTGTGTCTGCCACCATGCCTGGCTAAGGAGCAAACTTTTATAGAACCCTAAGTATTCTACCGTAGGAGGTGTGAGGCTGGCTTACTCATGTCCCCACCTGATTGGCTGTGGTTGTCCCTCAGCTCTGCTAGGGCCGTGTCCAGTGAGGTCAGCGACCTCCGATGGTAATCAGCCTGAATTTCCAGGAGCTGTGGGGACAAAGGACGTCCCCCGGAGAAATGAGGGAAGTGGAGAATTCCCCAGGGGCTCTTGGGGGAGGGGGTCCCAGAAGTCCTTCCCTGTGGCGTTCACCCTGATTTCAGGTAGCTGGAGCTGGGTCATGGGCTCACATGAATGAAGTAGTTGGCGTATGAGTCCTCCTTGGTGGCAAAGTGGTACAGGTCGGCCAAGTACTCATCCTTAGAGACAGAGGGGAGAGGGCAGGTGAGGCTGGGGGCTGGCAGGGAAGCTACTGGAAGATCAGCTGCCCAGAGCTGAACAGCTGCACATGGAGGGTCCCAGTTAGCTTTCTCGCTCAGCCAGGGGCTACACTTTGTTCTTTACGATTTCCAGTTCTTTACATTGGGTCCTCAGATCCTTAGCACAATCGGTTCGTATTCGCCATGCAATCATTCCCCCACCCACCCATTCATTCATTCATTCATTCATCCACTTGGCAAGCACCACTCGCTTCGTTCACTTATCCAGCAAATGCTAACTCTCTCTAACAATCACTCATCATACAAATGCTCTTCATCCATTCGGCAAACACGTTCATTCATTCATTCACTCGCTAGACACCGAGAGTCCCAACAACCACATCCCAGCTGCTAACACACTTGGTAAGGATGGCAGGGGCTCTGGGTCGTGCTCCACTACGTAGATGATGACCCCTAACTGCCTGGAACTAAAACTCAGGGCTGCCGAGGCCAGCTTTGTCCCTTCTCTGAGCTTAATTCTCCCACCTGTCAAATGCACAGGCTACCCGCACCTGTCCCCCGTGTGGCGATCCCAAGTGACCTCACCTTGCACTGCTCCACCTTTCTCTTTAGCTCTTCCTCTTCTTCCTTCAGTGTCTCCACCTTGTTGGCAGTGGCGGTGTGGCTGTGACTGCTTGGGCCGCCACCCAGGCCTTGGCTGCTCCCTGAGTTCTTGGCTGCCTGGCTGAGCCTGGGGAAGGTCCCAAGGTGGGTGGTCACTGGCCCCATTGCATGGCCAGAGCTAAGTGTCCCCTCCATACACGTAATCACACAGGACTCTAGGGTTTATAGAGGCAAAATAGAAATTCCTTGGGCCTCTGCCCAGACTAGGCCAAAGTGCTGTAGGGCTCCCTCTGGTGGTGTTCCTGGTGATCACAGCAATCCAGCTCCAGAATGCAGAATAGGAGCCCTACAACCATATAAGGATCTTGGAAACGAGTGGCTTTCTTAGTTTTGGGGTCACCTGTGGCACAGGGGAGCACATGCACACCCTCACATATATATGTCTTTCCCACATGTGTTCCCAAGAACCAGCATGGCCACAAGTACCCAACGGGCCCGGCAGAGCTCTGCTATGGCTTGGCCTGGGTTCAGGTACTCACCTGCTCTTGAGGGTGTTCCAGTCGGACACCAGCTTCTGCAGGCTTTTCTTATGTTTGAGGATGGCAGGCAGCTCCTCCTGAGGGTAGGCACAGGGAGGGTTCAGGGGCCTGGGTGGGTGGGACAGGGGGAGCAGGAGGTCAGGGAGGCTGGGGCTGCCCGGCAGGATCACCTCGCTCAGCCTGTTGAGCGGCTGCAGGACATCTCTCTCCAGGGTCATCTCGAACTCAGCCAAGATTCGGGCCAGCTGGTTCTGGATGGCGCAGCTCATCTCTAAGGCCTTCCTGTGTGCAGAGAACACAATAGGTCAAGGCTTCCCTGGCCCCTCACCTTCACCTAGAAATACTTGAAGGTCCCTGTCGCTCCATTTCCTGCTTTTTCAGGTCTTACTGACCTGGACAGTGCTCCCAGCTTGGTCACCCTTTTGAGGCAGACACTGTGGCTGATATGGTCCCCTCATTGTTTGCTGGCATCTAGTGAAGGCCAGGTCCCCATTCATGCTCACCCCATGCTAGAATCGGGACCCACAGACCCCAGTCCATGCTCACCCCATGCTAGAATCGGGACCCACAGACCCCAGTCCATGCTCACCCCATGCTAGAATCGGGACCCACAGACCCCAGTCCATGCTCACCCCATGCTAGAATCGGGACCCACAGACCCCAGTCCATGCTCACCCCATGCTAGAATCAGGGTCCAGTTCTTTGAAGCTTTCCGCCATCGTGGTGGAAAGAGCCATGAGAGGAAGCTTCTTCTGCAGAGAGGGCGGGGTGAGCCAGCGTGAGTTTACCAGTCTCCTCCACCCAACCTGAGCCCAGAGCACCCGGCCACACCCACACTCCAGCAGAGGGAGGAGCCAACCAATCAAGTCCACAGTCACAGGTAAAGCGTGGAAACAGGATGGCGCGCGTGTGTTTGTGTGTGTTTGTGAAGATCTCCTTCTCTCCTTTCCTCTCTTCCTTCCTCCCTCTCCAGTTACTTGACTAGGCAAGAAGGAATGGTCAATCCCAGGAAAAGGGAGCTGGGAGCTGTTCCAAGGTCACACCACAGCAAAGAGAGAGCTGGCCTTGTGGCTGGGAGGAGGGTGGCCTGAACTCATTCCCTGCCTTGGGTTGTAGGTGGTTTAATCCGGTCACCATCTAGTTCAAGCTCTCCAAGGCTGCCTATTGCCTTATAGCCAGGCCCAAGAATGACTGACGCCTTCAGGGCATTGGACAGGGTGTCAGAATCCCTGAGATTGGGACTGGATAGTTGTGGGAACCCAACCCAGGTCTCTTCAAGAGCAAGTCCTTTTCCTGAACCAAGCCTCCAGCTCTAGTCACATGAATCTCTAATCATTCCCATACTTCCACCTGGAGTTATGGAGAACACGCCAGAGGGACCACAGGGTCGGTTTTGCCACTTGTTAGCTATGTGATCTTGGGTTAGTAAATTTAGGTCCTGGTCTCCCATTAAACACGAGTGACTTGTACAAGGGACTCTTGCCAGGGCTGTTGGGAGACAATGCTCTGGCAGTCTTAGCAACAGTCTGGCAGGAGTCAATAAACGCAGCCTGTTGAGTAACAACAGTGAGCATCCTCCATCCAGCTCACATGGCGCTCCGCCCACCTACAACGCCTGGGGGTGTGCTGGTTTGGAGCAAACTGGAGAAGCTGCAGCCGAACCAGAGGGCCTTCTTGCCACCCCATCCCTCATCGCTCAGGCCCCTCCCTTCTCCTGGAGACCCCCCACTTACCACCCGCTTGTCCATGTCAGCCCCGCTTTGGCCCTGTAGACAGGCCTGCAGCCGTTTGTGAACATTGTGGGCTGCTCGCTTAGCAGGTTCCAGGCGCTGCTCCACCTGGGAGGTAGAGGGGAGAGCAGGGGGGGGGGGCACACTGTAGATTGTAAGGGGTGACTGCTCTGTTGTCTCCCCCAGAGCAAGAATCACTTTTCTCTTCCCTCCTGGAGCGCCCCTGGCCAGCAGGGAATGACTCAACCAGGCCTTCCTCTGCTGTCCCCACCTGTCAGCCTCTATACTGACAGCCTGCACGGACCTGCCTCCCAGTCCAGCCCGCCCAGGCACGTACCTGCAGCAGGTCCTCACCCAAGAACTCGGCAGTCTCTGGGGTGCTGCGGGGGAAGGGGGGCTTCTGCTGAGTCAGTCTGGATTAGGAAACCCACCGCCTCCCCCTGTCCCCAGCATATGGCACCTGGGCCCCAGTTCCTTCCAGGACCCACCAAGCCTGGGTGGCCTGTCCCCACCGCAGTTGGAGCACATTCCGTAGTTTTAGAGGATGCATGCCTGCTTCCTTCTCCACCCAGGGCTGTGCCCTGGGAGAGGGTGGAACCGTGACACCGAAAGGGCAGGAGGGAGCTACCCAGGGCTCAGCTTTGGGACACAGAGGAAAAGTTTCTATTCTTCCCATCCCCCAAATCGTTTGCCTGCCCCGGAAAGAGGAGGTCTAAGCTGGCCCCCAGAACGGGAAGTGTGGAAGCTAGCCTCCGGGGTGGTCAGGCCCACAGGCACACGACATTGGACTGCAGCTGTGGGCAGGTCCCGAGACTCTGGCCAGGGACACATAGGGACAGGGGTTCAGAGCACAGTGGCCTGGCTTCGTAGGTGCACGCAGGTGTCTATGTCACCGGAGGACTGGATCAAGTTTCTGGATACTCCCTCCCAAGGCCCAAAGAATGGGGAACTCCCAGGCTGGGGAAGAGGAGCAGAGAGAAAAGCTCCGAGAAACTCCCCAAACTTCCGCTCCCCTAGTTCTCGGAGCTGGGGACCGAGGAGAACAGGGGGTGCCTTTACCTGAGCCTGCGAAAAGCAGAAGCAAGACTTTGCTGCAGGAGGCCCCTGGGCTGGGGGAGGGGACGGACACCCAGCTCAGAGCAGGCCCCTCCTCCCCAGGCTAGAACACTGCCAGTCCCTTCCCCCAGGGTCTGGGGCCCCCAATTGGCTCTGTTCCTCCCCAACCCAGCAGTTAGAAGTGGTTAATTGTTCCCATTGTCCAGAGAGGACAAATGAGGCTCCGGGCAGCGTTCCGGCTCAGGGCGCATTCTGCAGCTTTTCCAACCAAGAATGGAGGTGCCTTTTCCCCCCCTCAAAGGCCAGCAGTGCCTGTGCGACCACAGTGGCTTCAGACGCCAGGAAGCGAGGTCGGGGCTCTGGCATGCTAGAGGGCCGCTGCCCAGATGTCCCCGACCTCCCTGACCGGTTCCCGACTCTCCTGCGCCCGCTCAGGTCTTGCGGGGAGACAGCAGAGCTAGAAGGGGGTGACACTCACCGTCCCAAGCTGCCCGTGTGGGCCAGCTGCCGCATGCGGTGCAGCTGCCTCTTCATCATCTTGGGTCCGGACTGGGGGCCGAGGGGTCACCGTGGGGGGGTCGAGGCTGGCAACCCCCGGCCCAGCCTGCTTCTCCGCGCGCTTCGCCCCGGATGGGTGGGCGGCGCTCTGGCTTCCTGGGCCGCCGCGCTCCTCTGGCTGGCGCTGGCGCTGGCGCTGGCGCTCTCCTCCCCCGCTCACGACTCCGCCCCCGGCCCCCAGGTCACTCCTCTCTCCAAGTTTGGAGTCTCGCTTTCTCGCGGCTTCCGGGCCCCAAAGACCCCCGGCTGGTCGCCTGGCGAGTGTCAGTCGGTCTGTCTCTCTGCAGTACGCCGGTTGAGTGCGGGATCCTTCTTCCCGCACCCTGCCCCGCTGCGGCGACGGGTGGCGGGAAGCAGGTAAGCCGCTCCTGCCACCTCCGCCCTGGGCATAAACAACCTTTGCTCTCTTAAAGGGAAAAGAAGGCTCTGTGCCTTGAAGAGACAGGCGGGGGACAAGCCTTAGGAACCTGTGCAGGCCAGTAACCAGAGATTGCTCCTTGGAGATTTCTTACTCCATACCATCCCGTGGCCATCCCTCAGGCCTGCTAGACCATGACTGGGAAACCTGGGCTACCTGGGGCCACCAGAGACTAATGTCCTTGGATCGGTCCCCAAAATTTCTCATTCACTGTGTATAGTGGCCTGATGGGACAAAGTCCTGGATCAGCCCATACCACAGGGTAAACAAGATACCCCGATCTGCTTTTGGCCTTAGAGGTCCTCCACTTTTAAGGGTCCTCAGTTTGGACAGTTTCCTCTATTTGTAAAGCTTTCTCGTCCCTCTCAGAAAATGTTCCTGCTCCCTAACCTTCCTTCTTGTCAGGCACTGATAGGGGTGCTGCTCTGAACCCCCAAACCCGATAGAAGCTTTCCCTTTGGAACCTGCCACTGGGCATACAGTAGGTGTTCATAACTGGTAGTTACCACACGGCAAGAGAGCCTGTGGGCAACAGCAAGCTGACTCCCGTGTGAACCCTTCAGCCATAGGGAGGCGGGAGGGAGGCTACAGGAAGCCCTGAGCACCACACCACACTTTGCTCAGTTTTGCTTAGTTTCAGTTAAGAACCTTACGGCTTGTGCACCTACTGTGCTGTGTGTACACAGCCGCTGAGCTTCTCAAAGACAACCGCCTCTGCATACCCTACTCCCAGCACAGGCCTGGCGCCCGGTGGGCACTCGCTGGGAGCAGGCAGCCCCTTTATTCATTCAGGAAGTCCTATTGAAGCTGGGAGGAGCCCCAGGGGTCCCAGCAGCTAGTGCTGCAAGGGCCAGAGCAGCTGGCTGGAACAGCGCCCCTCCCTGGAATCCTGGCTCTGCGAGACAGGAGAGGGCAGGCCAGGTTCCTTCCCGACCTCTTTTTTCCAGTTGGAAGGCTGCTGACCAGTGTTTGGAAAAGAAATGGCTGAAGACCCCTTGAGAGGGGTCCAACCTTGGGGTACACTGACGGAGACACCAGAGTGGCATAGACCTGGGCTCCTGATGTGAGACTTCTGATGTTTAGCTTCTGATCTCGGTCGGCCCCTTTCCTTTCCCACCATCTAGGTCCTACCCAGAACATTCTTTTTGTTTTTGTTTTATTTATTTATTTCATTTTTTTGAAGCAGCGTTTCTCTGAGTAATTTTGGAGTCTGTCCTGGAACTCACTCTGTTGACCAGACTGGCCTCGAACTCACAAAGATCTGCTTGCCTCTGCCTCCTGAGTGCTAGAATTAAAGGCATGCACCACCACTGCCCAGCTCCAGAACATTCTTGTGATTCAGTTTTCTCTGACTTGGCAATGGGCACACACCCGCTAGGTGAGTGAGCACTTGGCTCCAGGTGCCATCTTCTTGCCTCTAGGGAGGTTTCTGAACTCCATGGTGCTTCTGCCATCGTGTTAGGGCTGGTCAGGCTATCAGGTGGCTTGACTGGTCTGGAAGTTCCCGAGGGCAGGCCTGGCTATGGCTGCATAGCCTATGGCAGCATAGGCTAGGCCCTATGCTTCTTAGGTTTGTCTCGGCCTAGTCCTAACTCTAGCCTGGGGACAGGAAAGCTCCCTGGGCTAGAAAGCAGGTTGTTTTGTTTTGTTTTAAAGAGATGACCAGAGTCTCTAACCACTCAAACTCTTGCCCAGCCCCCAGCTCTAACTTCCCTGCAGCCAGACCCAGGGCCCTTCTGGGTCCAGCCAGATGTGCTGTTGTGCTTCTTGGCTGGGTCACCTTGTAATGAAGCCCTCCTGTGTCACACCTGTTGAATCATAGACGATTGGAAGCCCCAGAGGTTGGACCATAGACTATTCCTTCAAAGGGTGTTGTAATCAGAAAGTTTTGATTAGTAAATGCCAAGATCATGGGCGGGCTGGCTTCTCTTTCATGGGGGTGGGTATTTTGGTTTTTGTGGTTTTTATTTTTTCGAGACAAGATTTCTCTGTGTAGCTTTGGAGCCTGTCCTGGAACTTGCTCTGTAGACACTGGCCTCGAACTCACAGAGATTCACCTGCCTCTGTCTCCCGAGTGCTGGAATTAAAGGCACGTGCTATCACCCCCTGGCTCAGTGTTTTGGTTTTGTGGTTTTTGTACTAGGGATCAAACCCAAGGCTTTGTGCTGCTTGGCAAGGGCTCCACCACCAAGTCCCAGCCTCAGATCTCTTTTTACTTAAAAAAAATTTTTTTAAATTTATTTTTGTTTTGTTTTTCAAGTCAGGGTTTCTCTTTTATAGCCCTGGCTGTTCCAGAACTCTTCTGTAGACCAGGTTGACCTCAAACGCTCAGAGATATACCTGCCTCTACCTCCTGAGTGCTGGGGTTAAAGGCATGTGCCACCATTGCCCAGCAAATTAAAATAAAATAAAATTTCATTTTATGTGTACAGGTGTTTATCCTGCATGTATGTCTATGTATCGTGAGTGTGCAGTCCCTTTGGAGGCCAGAAAAGGGTGTTGGATCCCCTGGAACTGGAATTACAGATCATTGTGAGCCACCATGTGGATGCTGGGAATCGAACCTGGTTCTCTGGAAGAACCTCAGCGCCCTTAACCACATTTTTAAATTTAGTGTCTGCATGTGTGCACATGTGCATACATTACTCTCATGGGGAGGTCAGAGGTCACTTCTTCCACCATGTTGGTGCTAGGGGTCGAGCTTGGGTCCTCATGCTTCATGGCGGGTACCTTTACCCACGGAGCCACTTTGTCAGCCCTTCTTTTTATTTTGGGAGAAAGTCTTGCTAAGCTGCCCAGTTGGTCTTGAACTTGCAATGCTCTTATCTCCCCATTAGTCGGTATTACAGGTATAGGCTGACAGGAGCCACTGAAAAGGACCACAGACTTCAGAATGGTACAGAAGAAGTACTTCCAAGGTCACCAGCTAACCCCTCCCTAAACTATAGGCCTGTTGACTCAAGTGGAGAGCCACGCAGCAGCAGCGTGGTCTTGTCCAGCTCACGGCTGAGCCCTCTGGGGCTCAGTAGCTCAGCAGTATGGTGTCATGACTGACTTGGAGGATACCAGATCAGTGATTCCCTGCATCCCCAAAGAACAGCCATGGGACTCGGGGGGGGGGGGGGTATGTCTCTCAGCAGCACACTAACCGAACGGATAAGGCAGCTCACCCCTCAGCCACAAACAGCACAAGCTTAATAGGATTACAAGAATTAAGCATGTAAAATTCTCAGAAAAGTGCCTGGCACTACCTGCTGTTAGTCATTACTCAACCCCCGAAAGTCAGGAGGGACAAGAGCCTTGGCCATCCCTGCCTCAGTCGCTCTTGAAACATGTCCAGCTGCCTTAAGATAGCAGAGCTCATCCTCCCCTAAGGATGCTGTCTTTGCCTCCGTTTGGCAGCCATGCAGACCCAGGCTCTTCGAGCAGATGTGCACACCAGTTGGCTGTGTGGTGGAGGCCGGGTCAGAGGACAGACCTCAGGCCTAGGAGCCATAGCCTTTCTGCTGCACACATGGCCTTGTCTGGAAACTCCCTCAGGCCTTCGCTCCTGCCTTCAGTGTGGCCACTGAAGGACCAACCAGCCTCCACACACATTTGCCTGCCATCCCTGCGACAGTCTGGCTGGCATCTGCTAGTGAGACTACTTGAGCGGATGTGGTCAGGGTAGCCAGTAGGCAGGGTGGGGTGGAGGCTGTTGGCTTCATCCTACCAGCTGAGGCACTTTGCCACATGGCTAGATTGTGGCAATACTAGAAAGCCTCCAAGTAGAGGCTTCTGCCCACAGCAGCCAGCACAGGTGCATTTCCTGGGGCACTGATAACGCCCTTGCCCACTCCCACTTCCACAGGTCCAAAAGCCTTTCCAGGAACCTTGGGGTGGGGCTGAGGCAGGACTCCACCTGCCACTGCTAGCCCTGAAGCAATGTGTGCTCTTGGCCGCAGCTGGGAGCAAAGTAGAGCAGGTGACAAAGCTGGAGAGCAGGTCCAGGTGGCTGGAAAATCTGCAGTCTTGATGACCACCTCCTCCTCTGCTGGTCCAGTCTCAGAGGACAGTTCTGAGGACTCAAGGCAGGGGGGAGGGGAGGCTGCAGGCAGCAGGCCCAGCAGCATGCCAGGGTAGATGGCTCCTCCACCTGCCCTGGGAGTAGAGGCCACAGAGGGTGCCCTAGGGCAGCAGAAGCCTCTCCATCACTCTTGGCTTCTGCTAAAAGATAAGCAGCCTGCACTGTGGTTACTAAAGAATTAACTGCTGGCTCTGGCTAGTGTCCCATAAGTGGAAGTGTGGCTTTGAGGTCTGGGAAGTCCCGCTGGCTTGGTGTGGTGATGGAGTTCATCTTTTAAGAGACAGAGGAGATGCTTCCCAGGGTCCCCATGCTAAGACAGATGCAGACCTCCAGGGGTGCCCCTTGTCCCCCACTCGCTGAGAGTGCCATACTGGGCTCCAGTCTCTCTAGTTCCTACCAGATTTTGATAGGCCATATCAGGCATGGGACTGCTCAAGAGCTGTGCACCAGACAACTAGGCCAAGGTCAGAGGTAGCGTGGGGCCAGGAAATGAAGGGATACCCCTATGACAGCCTGGGCTCTTGGGCCTACAGATCCCTCGAAGGGGCCTCTACCTTGTGACCCTTTTGCACAAGGAACCTAGAAGGGAGAACAAGCCAGTGAGTGACTTTGGAACCAGCATGCCAATTCCCGGTCCTATGACCTCATGCTAACCCTCACCCATCCAGGGTCATCTAACAAGATTATAATGGACACGACTCTGAGGCCCTTTGCAGAAAGGACAGGTACTAGGACAGGCCATCAGCTGAGTCACGCACTGGAGTCTGGTCGGAAGAGGCTCAGAGGGGCTGTTGCCTCCTGTCATTTTGCTGTACGGTCCGCCCCAGACGCCTTTACTGGGTATGTGCAGCGTGGGCCTGCCAGGAGTTCCTCCCGTGGGACTCGGGGAGCTGTGTCACATGCAGAAGGTCTTCATAGGATCCAAGGGAAGGGTTTTAGTAGCCAACTTCAGATTAGGAACTGGCAGATGAGACAAAGCGAAAGTGTTTTCTCACGTGTGGGACTTCCTGGAGTCTGCAACAATCAGCTGCTCACAGGAGAGTGGGCTGCCTGCACCATGCAGGGGCTCTCTTCCTGCAGTTTCTGGGGCTCCTCACCGCACCCCACTGGCAGATTCTCTTAGTCTTGTGGCTTCAGCACCCTGCTTGGGTACAGCCCTTTATCACGCCAGCCAGGAGAGGTGAGGATAGCAGGGAGTGGGTGTAGTGTGGGGCTCCTGGATTAGGCCGAACGCATCTGTTGATGGGGTCCTGCTTCCCAGAGCAGCACCTGGGGCTGCAAGAGTCTAGCAAGAGAATCTGCAGCAGGAGGAAGTGAGCAGCAAGGGCTTCCCTGCAGCTTCTGCAGCAGCTGAACCTCCTAGTGGCCTCCTCATTTCCAGCCGGGACGGCTCTGGGTCACCACAGACCAAAGCTTCCTGAGCGACTAGGCAACCACATGTCCCCAGCAGGGCCTCTTCTGGGGCAGAGCTAAGGGGCTAGGATGGGTGGGAGATGGGGACAAGACTTTAGGGCAGTCCTTAGGCCCCCAACTCCTGGACCTTCCCTGCCTCCCTCAATCTCACAGGGGTGACAAGAACGGCTACTCCAGGAAAAGTTCATTTTATTCATAAATACTCCCACTGTCACCCATACTGACCCTACTTTTGACCACAGATGGTTGG